AGCTTTAAAGTTTCTATTAAATTCTATATCGTGATTTGTCTCAAAACAGCCAATGAAGTTTACGATGGGACATAAATTCTCCCGCAAGGAGTTCGCAAGGTTAACGTGCGGGAGTTTAATGTGTGATTAGTCACGTTTTTCGAGCCGCCGAATCGATGGGAGATCTTTTTATTTAATCAAAACCCGAAGCTTTCTCGCGCAATGATTTAGCCGCGCTTTATGGGCCGATCATAAAGCTTTTTACATACGTTCCCGGCTTTCGCGTTTCCCGTGCGATAGTAATCATTTTCAATATTCCGCGCTCCGGTGCCCCGTAAAATATTTTCCCTTCCATTCAACTACACATTCTTCGCTTTCAATTCGGATTCTTGCATTAGAGTCACAGTATCGATTCCTTTTATGCGGACGGTGCGAGTGCCGAGGAAAAAAACCCGGCTCTTTCGTTGAACAATTAAATTTTTCATCTCCACCGTCGATTCGGCCGGCAAGGAAATTGTTTTAATGCATTTACTAACAAATCCATCGGAGCTTTTTGTGCGGCAGAAATTGCGGAATGGTTCAATCAGAGTTCATCTAGAAATGAAAAACGACGACTGGCCACTATTTTCAAATTAAACACAAATATGCCGCGGGCGTTTTCGCGCAATTTTGTGGAGATTAAAATGCATAATGTAATTCGGTTTCGATTAAAATAATTGAAAACTGCCCGTTTCGGCCATCGCGTTTCGTTTAATGCCGGGGGTTTTTTATTAATCCGATTTTTCATTCGAAAAATTTCTCATTCAATGTGTTTATCTGATTCACCTCTAATTAGAGATGCGCTTTTTTCCTACTTCGAATCGCATATATTATTATTCCAATTAATGCTGTAGCAATTTTGAAAACAATTTCGCTTTTAAAATATATTTTTTCTCATTAAACATATAACAAATCGCTTTGTAGTTGAACTCATTCGAAGCGGCGTAGTTTGAGGAGAATATCCCGGCACAAAGAGATCAATATTCATTACCTTTAAAGCCTATCTCTCGCCTTTTTCGGGAAATTTCTTCTATTATCCGGCGCGTTTACATCGGGTGAGCTTTCGGAGCTGTAGGCTGGAACAAAAACTGAAATTAGAGTCCGGCGAAATAAGCCCGGAGCGGGAAGTTTCGGGAACTCCGGTGACTTTCGCTCGATCGCGAACAGAATTCGATACGCGTCGAAGTAAAAGCATACCGGGCCCGTTAATTCTTTTGCATAATAAATTTAGACATTATGTTCGTTGGATAATTGGAAAATTTTTTTCAGGGCGAATTTAATTCGATTTCCTTTTAGCTGACAGGGAAAATATCATAACAGTATCGAATTTCTTTGTATACGTATACTCGCAATTATTCCAATTTTGCAAACATTTTTTAATTAATTTAATTTGTATACGCTATATGGGTTATCAGGTTTTAATTAAAAGTATAGGTAGATATTAATTTCATTCAATATTTCGCTGTAAAATGTATGTATTCCATTCGATAATAAAACTGAATTCCATCGAATGTTAAGCCCTTTGAGAAGGGTTGTCGTTTTAACGAGCCTTTAAAACAGCCGGTTTTATTTAAAAATTCATTATTTCCAAAAGATACGCTTTTGCTGAGGCCATAAGTTTGCGTTATAATGAAAACGTCAATACCATAAAATTCCACTTTAACCTTATACCATCGCTTGAGTCTTGTTCATATTATATTTATAAGAAAAATATAGTCGCGAAAAGATTGGTACTTGCCTATCCAGAAGTGGTTAGTAAAGAAGTTACAGTATGCTAAAGTTAATGGATTAATTATTTTTCATAAAATTGTGTACAAAATATCTCTGTTTAGTGACACATTTGCGACACTCTCATCAGACTAAATTTGCATATTCGTATTAATTCAACCTTTTGAAGTATCTAGTCACTTCACTTCGATTCACCTGTAATATCACCTGGTTTGCGTAATGGCATTTTAATTACGGAGTCGCTATCAAATTTCACTTTCTAGCAATCACTGCTAGAGGATCTGTTACAGCGAGAGGATTATATCGAGAGCAAGTCTGCTGCATTAATTTAATGAAATTGACAATTAGACGGGCCGTAATCCGCCCGTAGGTGGCACATTTCTAGTCGCATTACCATAAACTCGAATATTTCGACGGTGATAAAATCGCTAGGCGGCCGCGGATCGCGTACGGGTTTCCACCCGCAGACCGAATTTTCGGATTTTCCCGGCCCGAAGAAAAGGGACCCGATATGTGAAGGGTCAGGCCGACGTTTCGACCCAATAATGCCTCTCTGTCGCCGACGAATAAAATGTTTTGCCTGCTGTAATAATTTAACTGCCTAATTTCGGATCTTCGGCCAATTCGAATCCTTGTAGTTTACCGTAGAATTGGTTTAATTGGGGTTTTTGACAAGTTGGTACAATTTCCACTCAATTGCACCGTGTCATTCAATAATTTTAACCTAATTATTTTGTACTACTTATTCAGTTCCATTAGTAAACAAACTAACGTTTATCAGCGATATGAATCTTGTAGTTCTGGCGTTTTACATTAAATATGGACGATTTCATTTCCCTTTATAGGAATCTTTCAATAGGTCGAATTGACCGGACCCGAACTGATTATTCCGTGATAGCTGGTGGTTACACAGTTTAATAATTTAATGGCTTTTCGTACACAAAGCTGACGTCTGCGGGCATTAAAATTTATACAATCGTACCCTTCCGTCTTCAGAAAGCAGCAGTTGCCGATGTATAATAGAGGGAATTTTTATTCTATGAACGATTGAGAGCTCGACACGCGAGGAAATAACTGTTATTAAACAGTTTATTGAACCACGCAGAATGTTTTCGTTAAATTAGAAATGAAATTAGTTGTTTTTTTTCGGTAATACCGAGTACCTAACCCGTAATCGTAAAAAATCAAATTCCCCGTAAATTATTTAATTATGTACCACGCCGAGCGGAATTACGCGTATATAAGCAAGCAGAAATTAGCGGCATCGTCCCCAAGAAGGCGAATAAAATTACAGGTATCGCAAATTACATCATCGCATGTCGCCCGAGCACATAGAAGAAATAAATTTTATTGAGAATTAGTGGCCATTTCTCGCCATTCACAACCCCAACATTTTTCCATTAATCACATACGAATCTTCAATAATTACCACAAGCGGAATTTTACTGCACTATCCAGTGATAGAAATTTTATAACTTTCTCCCTACCTTTTTGTATGTTTTTAAATAACGTTATTCGGATAGGTGTTGAACTAATTATTAAAGGGAGTTAGTTCTGGCTTTAATTAGTGATAAGTTTCTAATCGGATTTTTGTCATAAGTGATTCTCCGGGTTATCGTATCCGGGGTGAATTTATTAGGGCGCGACTAATGGAATTTAAAGGCTCTTTGTTGGCAGTCGAATTAACCTAGGAATAGTGAATGGTTCATTACAGGGCGCGGAAATCTTACCGTTTTATCGCCGTTTTCGGTCGACAAAAGAATGATAATTCTCCTCCGTGCTTATTTCGCATACTATCTAAATTACGCTCGGTCTTTTTCCCGGTTTTTTTTTTCGACCGGGGCTGTTTTTTCGCACTAAGATATATATAACATCGTCGCTTTTCTTTCGAGGCTTATAAAACTCCCGTTCAATGTAACGAGAACGTACGGGAAATTGCCCTATTTTGTTAAATAGTTTCAATTTTTTTCCTCTATAGCTCTTTTCTTAATACAAATTCATCCAAACAAACCCGTTTTTTTCGTAATTATAAATGGGTATATTCCACATTAGAACGGCGGAAGGGTGTTATATTGCTCCAGTACACCCTTTTTGTATAAAAGGAGATATAAATTACTATAAAATATTACTTGTCAGATAAGAGATAATAATTTGCGCCCAATATGTAAAGAACCTTTTGTACAAAGCCTATAAATCAGCTACAACGTGAAAAATTTATACGCGACCTTACTTTTAATGAGTATTCCTGTTAAATTAAGCGCAGGATATTAAATTTATACTTTATATATTTATCAAACGATTCGAGAAAATCTTTCTCGCGAGACAGATTAGATTGAAAGGTAAAATAATTGGCAATCTAAGTGGTAGCAAAGGAATTGTTCTCCGTCGGTTCTTAAAACATTTAATCGATCGATCGTCGAGTAGATAACCGATAAAGCGACAAAATAAAAGGGAGAAAAAGCGGTGGAAACTCGCGATGGTTCGCCGTGCAAAACACAATTTCCATTAATTCCCGCTAAAAAAGCCCGTCACAACATCCTAATTACTCATTTCTGCTTTGATGTCGATGTCAAATCGCGAGACAATGCTAATTCCTCCGACGAGCAAATAGAAAATTAGAAAATTCATTTCATTTCGATTCGATTCTTCGAAATTAATAACATTTTCCACTTAGTTTGGCTGTTATTAGGAATTATTGGAAAAAAAACATTTTAAAATTCTGTAAGACAAATACGATGTCATCATTGTCTATTTCTATTAAAGGAACGTTTTAGAAATTGGTCCGGTATTAATTATTTATGTTTATATGCTACATGATATCCTGTAAGTTGATAAATTACAGAATTATGCTAAAATGCATTAACAATTCGACCTTCGAAATATTATTATGCAAGCAGAAAAATTAAAGATGACCACTTTTTGTCACTTCCAAAAAATACAAAACATCCTTAAGAAATCCACATTTGATACATTGATAGGTAAGACATAAAATATTGTCAAGTTATTTATTTTTCCATTTGTCACATACAATTGAAGGGTTATTTATAGTTATTTATAGAGTTAAGTGTAAGTAAATAAATCCAGTGCGTCCCATCAATCAATTAATACGTCAACAAAACTATATCTGAAAAATATAGCGAGTAACATGTTAGAGGAGAAAAAAAGTTTCTGCCATATCAAAGAAACTTCTCCGCGGCGTGACGAGGCAAATGGAAAGAAAAATGAAAAGGAGTAGGTACATTAATTCAAAACAACCAACTGTCAACTAAAAATAACTGTATTTTTTTTGTGTTTTCTACATTGTTTCTATACAAACTAAACGTTTTCTTAACTCGATTCCTACTCTAAAGTACACGCCGATTTTTCCTGATCGCAGCATTTTAAACGTAGTAACCGGCCACGCTCGGGTAACCGGCGACCACGTAGTTGGGAACGCTGTAGGTTAGAGGTACTCCCACTGAAGGTACTCCATAGTAAGAGGTCAGGTATTGGGGTGCCGGAGCCGGAGCCGGAGCAGGAGCAGCAGCTGGAGCCGGTTGTGGCTGAGGAGCGGCGTAGGCGAAGGCCAAGATGGCAGCGAAGAAGAACTAAAAATAGGTTTGATAGATAAATAAATGTGCAAAAGAATGTGTAAATAAATGGGTATATAAATAAATGTGTAAAAAATGGATAGACAAATCAGTAAATAAATGGATAAATAAATAAATTAGTACTGGTAAAGGAAGGTTCAATAATTTAGGTAGGTATTAAAAATGTGCAAAAAATACCTATGTTAAAAAAATTATATCATATAAGTATTGGTAATCAATAATTACTCGTTAATTTAAAAAAAAATATTACAATTTTTTAATCGACTAATTAATGAATACAAACAAAAAATTGCGAATATGTAAAGTATAAATTTAGAGGGAAAATTTCGACTTACCAATTTGTACATTTTGAAGATTGGTTGTTTGATGCTGATCTGGATCAAATTCTAATTAAACATCGGAGATACCGCTCTTTTATATCGAAATTTTTGAATATAATTTCGTGCAAAAAATGGCCAGTTGGGCGGCGCTTGTTCGCTTAATTTTTTGCGTTTTTCGAAGGTCGACATGTTGTAATGGATTTTCGAATTCGCCCGATGGAGTTCCGGTTAAAATAAATTCGAATATTTCCCGGCTCTATGAAATGCTACGAATAAAGGCAAAAAACAAAACGGGGGCTTAGAGGAGTTTTGAGGGAAATGTGCATTAAAATGTGGGTAAACGTTAAAAAATTCGAATTGATTCTATTTATAGTACCTACCTAATATTCGAATTAATCGAAAACATAAACAAATTATACCAAACTGTTAGAAATATTTCAAATATTACAAATCTATTAACGCGCACCGCTGTATAATTTTCTAATAAATTATAATTTTATATCGATTTTACATATTAATAGCAGGATTTTTGGCCTTGTTAGCGCGACGACGCTCGTAAATTTTACTATTTTTTTTAATTGCTCTATAATATTTTCCTTTACGTTTGTGTAGTTCCTGTTTCACGCCGACACGAATTTGTTTGTTTATTGACAACGCCAGCGCGAAAAACAAATATTTTTTCACCGCGATGCATTATTAGGCGCGCGTAAATAAATTCTCCCTGCATACAACACTCACAAAAGTTCGTAATTTGGAAAATAGTACAAAAAATGCGAATCCAAGCAAACATTCCCCCCCGCAAAAATGACGGGCGGTAAACATTTTAGGAAACTACATTAATTAAATTCATTCAGCGCACGACGCAGAAGTTTGAATAACTAGCGTATGTATGTGCAGCAGGGCATTAGCCCGGATTCAACATTACAGTGCTTCGAAAATACTGCACTCCATATCACAGATTCCGGATGGCTGTTTATCCTCAAAGGATTCCATTCAATTAAGAGTTTGAAATGTATTTGTTCTATTCAAAGCGAGAGGCGTCGAAAGATAAATCGATTGTGAGAAATTGCGAGGGGGCGGCCCGCTCGGGGACGGGGGAATCAACTTAAATTTAAGCGCATAAAAGAATATTCATGCTTAGTTTAACGTACGTGGAGAGCGGTGATGAGGGCGCGTGTTTATACGTGTTTCTCAAGGAAGGAAAAAAAAGTCACAATTTGTATAGGGGAAAAATTCCGCGGCGGCTGCGAAAATGTGTCGAGCGGAAAATTTCCCGTTATTCCTCCATAGGAACAAGTCGCGTTAAATACGTGCAAAGAATTCCTATAAATTGCACGCGCTCTGTAAATTGCCGTTTACTACACAAATATTAATGTATATAGTTTAATTAATTAATATTAGCGTTGTTTTAATTTAACAAATCGCTGAGCAATTTAGTTCGAACCAATGTTTCGTTATTTTTCGTCCGGACTCTAAAATATTCAACATTTAATTAATTGCCGGGATTTCTAATTAAATAGATATCAAAGCCGCAGGAATACCTATATACATATGTTTAATAATTATTTTCAATTCATACAGCCATCACAAATTATTTAGGTAATACCTACATAAATCCATAATAATTTATACACATGCAATTGTATAATTATATAAGCTCTCTATTGTATACCTATAATTTTATACAAGGTGTTCTCGAACTTGAACTAGAAAAGTGAAATCTGCGATTCGGTCTCAAATCATGCAAACTACCACCCCTATAATTTAGTGCCTTATAACACCCTGTATTTAGGTATACAGTTCTACAGAAATAGCAAGAGATGTGAAATGCGCCATCTGTAACTAGCAATCCCTTCCGCACTGTATAATGTGTCAAAATTATACATAATTTTTTCCACTCCATATATTTCACATTAATTATTTAACCCTACAATCAATTGATATATAAATTTTAATCGAACCACATAATTACATAACAAACCATTTTTTTCTCATTTGACAAATAAAACGACGTTAATTAATTACAATTTAATGTAAATTACCAACATTACGACCTCGTTAATATAATATTCTAACCTAATAAATTAATTTTATGCCCGATTACCATTTAATTGGGCACTACTGACGCATTGATTTTTTCTTCCTGGTGTTAATAAAGATGTTTTGCTCGCATTTTACGCGAATAGCAATAAAATAAGTGCATGAATAAAATGCAAAGGAAATTTACGATCCTGCTCCAGATATTCCAGATCCTGTGTAGGTGGGTGATTCAATTGTACCATGCATCATTAGGCTTTTTGTGCCGGCTTCTGCTCTACAATAGGTATTGAAGATACACTTTTTAAGATAAATTCGGATTTATTTCGTAATGCGAATTTTTCAGGGTTATATTCCAAATACACCCGAATACAGCCTCTTGACTGCAACCCGACGTTCTATTAAAATGAAAATAAATGGCGGGATATAAATTAAATTTATGTAGTTATATAGGTACGAATAATTTATTATAATAAAAAGTTTCACGTGTGTATAGTTTGTTTCGGCATAATAAATTAGGCTGTTTCATTAAAAGGAATTGAAATTTTAATCATTTCGCTAGAATTATTATTAAACGCGGTAATTATAATACAACCTAAAATGTTATTAGGTACCCTATAGTTAGCGAAAACTTTATTATGCAAGGGATTTCTGGTAGAAAAGCGTAAATTATAAAACAAATATTAAAATTATAATGAGTAGAGCAGATTGAAATCATATTTAAAATTAATAACGCGCTTTCTTTGAAGTGTATAGAAAAAAGTAGAATGATCGTTTTTAGGCGATCAAAGAACAGTACAAACTCGCCGGGAACACCTTCTGCCGGAAACCTTGAAAATTTTAATTATCATAGAGAGAATTCCGACTAGCCGGAAATTAATTTCGCTCGAATCTTAAGTAACTTTTCGCCATCGATTTTCCCATTGCTAGCGAACGAAGTTTCCCGGCAAAAATACGCGACATATTTCCCTCGTTCATTAAGACAGCCCCGATTTTTGCGAAAAACTTTCCGAGTAACGGCCGTTTTGTCATTTTGATTAAAGGTTTTGAAACGCCGAGAAAGATGATTCTTCCGGAGCTCCACCGAATGAGATCGCTCAATCGAAAATTCGTTTGCCGACGTCATTTCAATAAATTCGTCCCAGTAGAGCAGATTAAAGCGTAGAGTATAACACCGATTGTGAGTAAAAAATGCTACAAAAATATCCAGGTTGTTTGCACGTTCGCCATTGTTATTCTTCGAGAGCGCCAACAAATCAACACATCTTAAAATCTTTCTCGCCGCACGAAATTATTGGACAATTTAATCCGGGCCCCGGAGGCCGGCGTATTAGCATTTTCGGCGCATCCGCCGAATTTATACTACAATCAACTTACGAGAAACAATAGAAATAGAGCAGCGCGTCTGCTGGCAGGTCCGCGCGAAAAAGCGGATATTTATGTCCCGGATCAAAACCGCTTTTGAAAAATTTCTCATAGAATTCCGGCGGGGCGAGCTTCCCGGCTTCCTTTATTAACCCGCTGTAGGAGGAGCGATATACCGGGTGATTTATTCGCGCTACGTGCACCAAAAATGTATTTAGTAGCTACGTATAGTATAAATTTATGCACGGTAATATATCGATTCGTTAGGTACATTAATTAATCGAATAATCGTAGGGAAAATCGCATCAAATTGCAGCATCTCGAGTTCGCCTCGGAGCATACTAATAAATAGTTTTTCTTATAGCGAGACGATGCAGCGCGAGTGCATTATGAGAGGGTGGAAAATCGATGGAGGGAATTGAAATGTACATAAAGGGTTTGTTAGCATCTAGGATCTAGGATGCGCTCGTTCGGAAAATTCCCCCGAAAAAATCGTGACTAAAATCGGATTCGTTCTTTTAGTGATATATGTTTAAAAATAAAAGTACATTTACTTAATGAACATTCCGGGAACAATAGCGAGCGAATCGTTAACAACACAAAAGGGCCGACTTTCATCCGGTTTCGTTCGTTTATTTTTCTAGCTTAAGTCATTTAATTTCTGGCTGAACTAGTGGAAAGTTCGTTTCATTACTTTCACCGTCGGCGTGGCTTTTTTCACGCGAGCCCCCGGAAAAATGCCTCTTCTTGTCGAGTTAATTGCGGATTTTTTTCGCATCAAAATGTGTCCGAACCAGATTTAAACGTGAGGTCGATTATGTAGCTCGAAGAAGTTTACCGATACTCTTACGTGGAACAACGGAAAATTAACAAGCGCTCGAATTCAAACAAGTTTTCTTCGCGATTTCACAAAGGACTTCGCGGGAAATTGATAAAGTTTTTTTTTTGTTATCGAAATTTCAGCGTTCTTTTATAGCGTTTCAGACGGAAATTTTTAGATTGGATGCGAGGATGTGCTTTTGCCGGTAGCACAAAAGGCGTTACGGAAACAACACGGAATTAGAGTGAATATTTGCAAACAGAATTAAATCCGAAATTATTTACATTTTTATCCTTTCTGTTTGTCGAGCGAATAAAAACGCTTTAATGGTTTATGAGCTCATTTTCCGACCGTCTTTGCTCGCGCGCTAATTTATCGCGACTATTAATATTTAAATCTGCCGCTGTTTTTACGATATCTTTCGCATTATCTAAAAATTCTATCGCGTGCTAATGAATAGCAAATATTTTAAAATAATTATGCAAAATAATTCGGATATTTTTAGCTGTTAAATGAGCTGTTTTTCTGCGAATATCATTCGATATATGCTCGACAAATTTACCGGATACGAGGTTTTCAAGGATGGTCGATTTTTATCAAATTTATACAATTCTCTATGGCATAGTGGAATTAAATCCGCTATGTCACTTGGTCACAAATAGGTTTTGTTTGATATTCGGTTTCCCTCAGGCTCGTGCACTCGTCAATATTCCACTAGTTAACAGCAAAGTGGGAATCGATTTACTGTTTGTTAATTGAGTTAGATCGTTTTTTTTTTCGTAACGTTTAAGTTAATTACCTACCATTAATTGGCACTAATCGATAGCCTTAATTCAATCACCCAGGCGACTGTTTAATGCTTGTTT